TGTCATGACTTATGCCACTTCCAAAGAATATATGTCTGTGCCAGATTCTTATCATATATTATAGAAAGATTCCATTGTTCCAGTTTTCCCTACCATATCATCCTTCAAATACCCCAATTCCAACTGTCTTTTCTTCAATTCACTCTCTCAACACCATCTTCCTTTCATTTCTCCATCCGACCATCCTGTTCCTGTCTTCATTGTGATGTCGATTCCAACAATCTATAAATATCATCCAGAGCAGAAAAGTCTGAGAGGCATCAACATGGAATAGTTATCAAGGCTGTGTGCTAAACGAGTGAAATAACTTGCTTCAATGTGGATTAAGCACATCATCCAAAGTGATGGTCCCAAAATTGATGCTGGACCCTCTTGTCCCCATCACAATGAGTGGGTCATTCCACTGGATTTTCTTCATCCTCCAACTTGTACTTGTTTCATTCTTCTAGTGTCTGTAAATAAGAAATGAGGATCCACACTTTATCACAAGATATAATGTCCCTAAGCCTCTTGAAGTTGTTACATAAGGCAAAATTATAAAACATTAAAATCAAAGCTTTAATCTTAAAAATATTTCTTGGAGGTAAGGTAAAAAAATTAACTGAAAGATTTAAGGGATTCTCCCTAATAAACGTACTAACAAACACATGTCAGTTAACACAAAGGATTTAAAACATTATAGTATATGAGAGTTGACATTTTAGTTTGATATGAATTTATTAACTCGATATACTTTATTCATTATTTTTAAATTCTATAGGATATTTTTTCTAGTAAGTAAAGCAAATCTTTGGCAACGAATATAAAGTCAGAGTTTCATATACACCATTGGTCCTCAGCCTTCCTAATGCTGAAATTTTTTAAGTATAGTTCCTCAGGTTATGGTGACTTCCAACCAAAGCATTTTCATTGATACTTCATGACTGTAATTTCCCTGCTGTTATGAAACATAATGTAAATATCTGATAATTCACATGGTCTTAGGCCACCCCTGTAGCAGCATCTTTTGACCTAAAAGCAGATGGGTTCCACAGATTGAAACCCTCTTAAATAAACCCATTATTCTTGATCAGAATCTTTTAGTAAAGCAGTATTTTTTGGTAATTATCCTTCAAAAATCCTTCTCCGTCGACTATTTCTTGTCACATGTATTGGGTAAAGATAGTCACTTATCCAGAGAGTAAAAGATTCTATGTTCTGGAAGAGAAATGTTGAGTTCAGCTTTGTACTCTTCCAGGATAGTTTGTGTTTCAGACTGATATTTCCTGGTCGTGAACACACAGTGGTGTCCATGGAAGAGGGTACTGTGTCCCAGGAGCTGAAAGCCATCAGCTTCAGACTTCCTGTTTGCAAGGGTAGAGACATATTAATCAGTATTGTGTTCAGCCAGCAGGGTTATAGTCCATTTCTAATCAGAACCAACATAATTAATTGCACTAGGACATACTGTTTAAACCTGATAAGTAACTAAGGACTGTTGGGCTTTCTATATTGTGCATAATATAAGTTGAAATTTTTACCTCTTTAGACCATAATCTCCCCTGGCATACTGTGAGAAGCCCATGGAAACTTTGGATTTGTAAGATCCCTGTCTCCATTTGTCCCATCTGAAGTAGCAGCTGTGAATGTCATGAGGGCACAGTCTGAGCTCACTGCTGCTATCACAAGAAGTGTAAAGTTTTGTGAAGATCAAAGGCATATGACAACTTGTTAGACACTGACAGGAGCAGAGCTCCTTGTCTGTCATATTCTTGTCCTTGAGATTAGGAACTTCCTGTATCTGCATACAGTCTACCTCTCTCATAGGTTGTTGTGTTAGTGGTTTATAGAGGAGATCTGCATGTGCTGATCAGAAATTATTTAATGTTTTATACCTGAAAGTAGATGTATAAAATAATATATTTAATTCAAAATAGAGGGATATGCATATTGGATAAGTGAATATTTATTTTTTCAATAATATTTGTGGCTCAATAATGAAACATATGACATCAGATAAATAATTTAAGTTGGGTAGATAATGCCATGAGCTGCCTTATAACCAGTTGATTAATAATACTATTTTGAGAGACAATGTACACATTGTCTCCATGTATACATTAGATTTGTGTAGAAGTTGGTATCTATCCCAGGCTGGCTTCAAACTCATGAGTCTCCTGCTTTTAACTATCCAGTTCTGGGAGTACAGATGTGAATCTCCACTCGTTGCCATGATAGTTCACATATTTATTTTTCTCTTTTACTTTATGCGTAATTCTGGCTACATAATTTACTTCTCATATATACTTTCAGATTTCAATAATTTGAAGTCCTGGCAGGTTCTGTGGTTTCACTTATTGCTGTTGATTTTTTTATTCAAAGCCATAAGTTTGTTCACCTTTTGGATAGGAACAGTCACTGACCTAGAATTCTATTGGTCTCTATGAAATCATTACATGGATTAGGATGGTTCTGCCCCCTTCTGGAGAGATTTACCTCTTCACTGTGTCAGAAGCCCATTTAATCCAGTTTCAATACTGCTAATTTCTAAATTACATTAGTATTTGTATTCCTTGATTAAAACTCATGGCAGTCTTGGTCTGCAACCATGACTTCATGAAAAATACGGTGAATCCTCTTTTATTTCTTCAGATTTAGATCCCTCTTGCAATTTCCTGAAGTTATGGGGAGGATACTTGTTAGTTTTTGCTGGGTTTCCTTTACTTTGAGATTAAAGTTCCTATGATCTCAGTCTTAAATTAAGGTCTGCCCGGATATCCACAGAGCGAATTCTGGCCTGCTCTTTGTATCTTAGTCCCTTGTTTATCTTAGAAAATACAGCCCAAATATCTGAGGCTCTGCTCTCTGTTTTCATTAAGAGTGGCATTGGAGATGAGTAATATTGAACACATTTAGCCTCAATTCTCTTTTTTCCTGTCATCTTTTCTTCCATCTTTTCTTTCTTTCATTACATGCTTTCTTACTCTGTTTCTTTTATTGTTCTTGTGATGTGTTTCAACATATCCTATTATTTCCCTAGGACTGTAAATCTGAGATAGCTCTAAATAATGTTTCTACAGAAGTCAATTGATTTAAAAAGATCTTGGATTTTAACCCAAGTTTGCTGTTAGACACTTAGTGCTTTTCTGTTTGAGAGCTGTAAAGCAATCTTTTTCACTAATTGCTCATGCTCCTTGTAATGGTATTTTTGACGGTTGATTGACACCAGCTACACTCACAGACACTGCACAGGCATTTGCTTTTTATTTGCTGACTGCTTTGCATGGGCTCCTACAGCCCAGCCCAGCTGCTGAGAATATATAAACCAGCCTTTGCAGTGAGAGCTGAACTGCATCAGACAGCAGGGGGAGCAAGATGAAGTCACAGACCCAGGTCCTCACATCCCTGCTGCTATGGGTATCTGGTGAGAAACTCAAATAGTTATTTGAGTCACTTTTTTGTAGAAAAGAAACTTAGAGTCTACCAGGCTCAGTATTTCATATTTCAATAATAATGTTCTGACAACATGATAGTACAAATATATTAAGTGAAAAATATCAACTGTTTTACAATCTGTATTTGTGTTCATATGCATGTTCATTGTGTATTCCTGATTGCAGGTGCCTGTGCAGACATTGTCATGACTCAGTCTCCATCCTCCCTGGCTGTGTCAGCAGGAGAGAAGGTCTCCATCAGCTGCAGGTCCAGTCAGAGCCTTTATCACAGCAGCAGCAAAAAGAACTTATTGGCCTGGTACCAGCAGAAATCAGGGCAATCCCCTAAGCTTCTGATCTACTGGGCATCCACTCGGGACACTGGGGTCCCTGATCGCTTCACAGGCAGTGGATCTGGGACGGATTTCACTCTCACAATCAGCAGTGTGCAGGCTGAAGACCTGGCAGTTTATTACTGTCAGCAGGGTTACAGCTATCCTCCCACAGTGCTTCAGCCTCCAACACAAACCTCACCAGCTGCCTACAGCACACACAGTCCTGGCCCTGCACACTTCCCCCTTTTCAGTGATAGAGGGTGTGGCTGAAAAAGTGATGAATAATTTGCAGAGCCCAGTACAAATTATGGATTCAGTGTCTCTTTTGTTTTTTGGTATGAAAATCCTTTATATGAAAATAAAAAAAAGAACTCAGGATTATCATTTATTTCCTTCTGTAGAAATTGGGGGACATGAAGGAGGCCATCAGATCACTGTAAGAAATCTGGAAGCTGATGTAGATGTTTTTAAAGATCAAACTGCTGTTGGAACAGAAGAAGTGTGACAAGGAAGATCAGGATAAGTAGTCTATAGAATTCTGGGTAGAGCAGACTAAAGTAAATGGGCAAGACTTGACAGAGAACAAGAAGCAAAAAAGGAAGATACAACACTTTTTGAAAATTGTGGAGAAGCCCCAAAAGAAGAACGAGGCTGTTCAAGCAGAGCCTCAGGAGCAGAGAGGAAACATCTCTCAAAAGACTGAGGAGAGATATTTTGACTTAAATAGAAGAAATGTAAAATTCTACCCTAGAACCCTAGAAGACAGCCTTACCAGCCGCATATCTTTATTGAGTCCCATATTTCAGAGGTTTTATATGAAATGTTCAGATTGAGAAATGTGCTAGAGGGATTGATTTTAGAGGGGAAAAAAGGCTGAAAATGAAATTAAAAGCATCAATATACCAATTTGAAAACTCCACAAAACATCAAGAATGACAGAGATGGCAGACCAAACCCATAGTAATGCTTGGCCAAAATGATGGGGAATGTCTCTGATTCCCCGGGGAAAGACAGGTGAGATCAGTTGTTATGATTATTGAGTGTCAGGATCCATCTATGTGAAGACAAAAATGCCTTGGCAGTGGATATCCAGGAGTATTGAGAAGACAGTGTCTTTAAAAAGATTTAGGACTGAAAAGTGAGTGATGTGCTCAGGGATGATAGAGAAAAGCCAAAGGATATAAAGAAACAGCAGTTAATGAAGAAAGATCATGTACTAGGTATAAGATTCTGTTAGCGTTTTTTTGTTGTTTTATTTTTTGTGGGTTTTTTTTTTGTTTTTTGTTTTTTTTGTGTGTGTTTTTTTTTTTTTTTTTTTTACTATTAATATGGGAGCATGTAGGGTGAGGAGGAAGAAGTGATGGATATGAGGCCTAGGCAAGGCTGGGTAAAGGTAGGGAGTATTGAGTTTGGAGATGTATGCAGAAGGGTCTGTGAGTATAATAGAGAGAGGTTTATGTTGCACAAACAGGGAAAAAGAGTGGTATCCCATAGGGATTGACTAGAGAAGTGGGGAGAGGATAAAAGGAGTTTGGGGACTGGGAGACTGCAGTGCACAAATAGAGTCTGAGGAAGGAAGAGGAGGGACTCCGGAGTGTGCCGGGAGCTGTTATGAGGGATAGAAAGAAAATATTTATGTCAAATCTAGAGAAAACGTGTTTTCCTAGGAAAAGAATAGGACATTAGGAAATGAGGAGAAATAAACCTTGAAAAGAACAATTTAAGGGAGAAAGCTGGAGGGTTCTGGAGGATTGGTTTTATATTCTGACTATGGGTGAGAAAGAGAGGTGAGTGGAGCCCCAACAGTAGCATAGAAAAGAAATGAGAAACAACTCTTTCTATACTTTAAATTACTCTCCCAGATGTATAAATCACTTTCTCAAGTTTGCAATCATCAGACCCTAACTCATTTTTCCTGAACTGTCGTAGCCTCTGACTATATGACTTAGACCTCCATAACTTGTATCCTTTGATTCTTCTTGACATATATAACTTACTTGCCTTTGTCTCATAACCTTTAGGAACTCACATCTTAGTGTGAAAACTGTCAGTAAGGTAAACTGTACATATGAAGTGGACTGGCTGAGGAGATGAGTGTTTGCTACTGTTAGAGCTACAATTAGCCATCAAGGACATCAGAGATCCAAGGAGGATAAATTTGAGTAGAAGTAAAAGTTAAATAGTTTTTGTATCACTTAAAATGACAGAGATTTATTAGATAGTCGGTTGAAGCATATCAAGTCTCATCTATCCTGAGAGGCTGCATCTCCAGGGGAAAGTGATCAAAGAACATGCAACCAAGTTTATGACAGATGCGGCCCCAGTTCTTATTTGAGAACCACATCGACACTGAGCAAGGGGTGGACAAAGCCAACGGAACAAAATGACAGTCTACAGACAGGGAAATGTTCTTCGCCAACCTAACATCACACTGAAGGCTAATATCCATAATATATAAAGAACTCAAGAAATTAGACACCAATTACTAAATAATCCAGTTACTAGTGAGGAACAGAGGTAAGCAAAGAACTCTCAGCAGAGGAATATGGAATGTTGGAAAAACAAAGAAATTCTCAACATCCTCAGTCATCAGGAAAATGCAAATCTAAACGACCCAGAGATTCCAACTCACACCCATCACAATGACTAAGATCAAATATTCAAGTCACAACACAAGATGGATAGAATGTGGAGAAAGGGGAAGCCTCCTCCATTGCTGGTGGGATGAAAAGTTGTACATCCACTTTGGGAAAAAATCTGGCACTTTCTCAGAATACAGGGAATTGTGCTACTTCAAGATCCAGCTATTCCTCTCCTTAGCATAAACACAAACGATGTTCTGTCATTCAACAAGGAAATTTGCTCAACTATGTTCATTTCAGATTTATTTGTAGTAGCCCGAATCTGGCAACAACCTATATGTGCCTCACCCTAGGAATGGATACAGAAATTGTGGCACATGTACACAGTGGAATACTGCTCCATAGTTAAAAACAAGGAAATCATGAAATTTGCAGGGAAACAGATGTACGAGATAACTCAGAAGCATAAATAATTTTTAATAGTGTAATTCTGAGGAATGAAAGTGCTCCTGCACCCCATATACTTACAGCAGTGCTGTGACATGATAGCTCAGAATAATAGACATGATGATTTTGTAATGCCAGCCAGGAAATCATTGTGATGCACTTAAAATACTCTAGGGATTTCTGTGCTAATCCTAACTGCCATAGGGTGACACAAGTGCAGGTGTCCTTTGAGCAGCAAGTCAAGCTGTTCTGAGCTGATTTGCATGTAATCATGACATTAGCCACAGTGTATATTGTTCAAAGCATCTTTGCACGAAGCTTTCCAATGCCCAAAGAAGCAGCCTCCAGTCCAGCTCTCAGAGATGTTGTCAGCTGCTATCCTTCTGTGGGGACTGCTGCTGTGGGTGTCAGGTGAGAGGCTACAGTTTTGGGAACATCCCCTGTGGCCATTGCTGTTTCCCGTGCCTTGCTGTCCCGATTATCAAAATTATGTTCTTTAGGCAGTGCAGGCACAGGTACCAGTATGATGAACAAATGTGTAATGGAAAGTTGAGAAAAATAGCATCACCTGCCATGTGGAGAGACGAAGAATTGGACACATGATGACAGTGAGGACCATGTGAGGCAGATGTGAGTGGCCTGCACTGCCCCCTGAGGCTATGGTGGTGTTTGGACCCATGGTGCCACTAAGGGCCAAGCTGAGAATTTTTCTTTCAAGGTCTGTGAAGAATTGTGTTGGTAATTTGATCAGAAGTGCATTGAATATGTAGATTGCTGTTGTTAAGATGGCCATTTTTACTATGTTGAGCATGGGAGATCTTTCCATTTTCTGATATCTTCTATTTGTTTCTTCAGATACTTGAAGATTCTTTCATACAAGTCCATGTGGACTTCTGAGTGAGGGGTATAGAGGCTGCCTCTATTGTGATCTCAGTTGACTGCTCTCTGATCATTGCCCCTGTTGATGCAGCCTTGCCAGGCCACTGAGAAAGAAGATCGAAGTATTCCCGATGAGACTTAACAAGCCATGAGCAGAAGGAAATAATGGAGAGCTCCCCCATTAAGTGGACTAGGGGAAGGGGATGAGGGAAAGAGGGAGGAAAGGCGGGTGTTTAGGGATGGGGCTTCAATCTAGATATGTAATGAATCAATGGTGAGTTAAAACAATAAAAAAATTATCAAGATTAAAATATTATTGCTTGATTTTTAAAAAGGCTGTGTACCCCTTCTGGATAGATATTTTTTTTTATTCTAGTTACTATGCAGGCAAGACCATCACAACCCAGTTTAAATATTGCTAATTTCTAAATTACTCCAGAAGATGAATTTCCAGAATTAAACACTCTAGCCAGGGTTGGTCTACAGGGATGATTTCATGAGAAAGTCTGGTTTGATTCGTTCCCCTTCCATCCACTCAGTTTAGAGCTCTCTTTCAGTTCCACAAACTTGTGGAGGAAATGCTTGTTAGTTTCTGCTGCATGTACCTTTTCTGTGAGAATAAAGCTTCTCTGGTCACAGGATTAAATTAAAGTCTCTTAGAATTTCCACAGAACGAATTCTTTGCTTCTCTTTTTTCCCCTTTTCTTTTCTTTATTCTTATCATTTATTACAATTTATTCACTTGTATAATGGATGTTGCCTCTTCCCTCTTTCCCTCCCAGTTCTACCCTCCCTCCCTCTTACCCCCATAACCTCCCCTAATCCACTGATAGGGGAGGTCTCCTTCCTTTCTATCTGAACATAGCCTACCAAGTCCCTTCAGGACTGGATGCATTGTCTTCCTCTGTGGAATGACAAGGCTGCATGCCACAGGGGGAGGTAACCAGAGAGCCTGCCACTGAGTTCATGCAGAGAAAGTCCCTGCTCCCCTTACTAGGGCCCACACTTGGAGACTGAGTCTATGAACAACATCTCAGCCAGCATTTTAGCTCCTCTGCATGCATTGTCTTTGGTTGGGGTACCATTCTCGTTAGGGCCCCCAGGGTACAGTTATGGCTCCATTGGTCTCCTTGTGAAGCTCCTGTCTCCTCCATGTCTTTCTATCTCTCCCTTCTTTCATAAGATTCCCTACCCTATGCCCAAAATTTGCCTATGAGTCTCAGTCTTTGAATGGATACCGTGATCATTACAGTCTTTCAGAGGCCCTCTGTAATAGGCTCCTGTCCTGTGCCCTGTCTTCTCCTGCTTCTGATGTCTATGGCATTTTCTTTCTAAATAAGGATTGAGAATCTTCCCTAGGGT